GATGAGGGCAATGAATGTACAAATGTGCTTTACACAATTGATGTGTGTATGGATTGTGATAAGAGTTGTATGAGCCCCTAATAATAAAATGATTTTAAAAATTATTATTATTTTATGTCTTACACTGACTGACGTCTCCCTTCACCCACTTGTCTGTTGTCCATCCCCCAGGGAGGGGGTTATATGTAGATCCTTGTAATCGTTTCCCCCTTTCTACCCCATCTTCCCTCCACCCTCCTGGTATTGCCACTCTCACCACTGGTCCTGAGGGGTTCATCTATCCTGGGTTCCCTATCTGTACCAGTGTACATGCTCTTGCCTAGCCGGATTTGTAAGGTAGAATTGGGATCATGATAGTGCGGGTGGGGGGAGGAAACATTTAAGAAATAGAGGAAAGTTGTATCTTTCATCGTTGCTACCCTGCACCCTGACTAGTCTCCTCCCCACAACCCTTCTGTAAGGGGATACATCAGACCTTTCTTGGGGGCTGCCTCTTGGTGGACTATGGAGCCCTGGCGGAGTAGTGGTTGGGCTGGGGTCTGCATGGTCAGCAGTTCAAACCCACCAGCGGCTCCGAGGGAGAAAGACTGGGCTTCAATTCCCATGAACAGTTACAGTCTTGGAAACCACAGGGGATGGCCGTGAGGGTTTTCTGCGTGGACTTGACCCTCCTTCCAATGTCTGTTACGGTCCAACACTTTAACTACTGGCACCACCAGCTCTGGCTGGACGTATGGGCGGCTGCGAACAGCTGTCCTCTGCACAGAGAATTCACAGCAAGGACAGGCCTCTATGGGAAGACCGGTCCACCGCTGAGTCGGGAGACCCATGCGCCGGCGTCGATGTCGGCTCACAGGGACCCTGCGAGGGTGGACTAAGTGACGGCGGGGCGGAACTGCCCCTGCGGGTCACCCAACAGGTAACTCTCTCGGCTCACCAACCCCCCCAGCGGCTGGTGGTTTGGAAGCCGGGAGCCGCCCAGTGCATAAGCAGTGCCGCCCCAGGGCTGCCCGCGCTGAGCCTGCGGAGCAGAAAACGCAATCTGGGGAGCAGAGCCCCCCAGGAAGCCCCTGTCGGGCCCCCCTGCCGAGCTTGACCCCACGCGCCACCAGGCTTCCTTTACTAGCTCGACACGTCCCCTGCAAAGACGGCCCTCCGCGTCTCTGCGCGCCCCGTGATCAAGCCTCCCTTTCCGGCCGGGTCGACTTTGGACGAGTCCACTGGACTAAAGGGGGAGGGTGCTTACAAGCCACTGGAAACGACCCCAGCTCCTGCAGTTTTAAGCTCGCAGAGCTCCCACAGCGCTTGGTGCTGTCGCTCAAAGCAGGGTTCCCCGCAACAAAGCACACGGTCGGTGCACGGGCTTCCTTTCGCCGTCCTTGGGCCGCTCCCCGCCCCCCGCCCCGAGGTCCCGTGGACCGCCGAGCTCGCCCCGCCCACGCCGGCGGTGGCGGGAAAGTCGGCCGGGCAGGCGGGGCTGCAGGCGGACGCCGGGCGCCTGGGAGCCCGCGGGACCCGGTGAGTATGCGGGTCGGCGGGGTCGGGGTCCTTGCGGCGCTGCCGGGGCTCCGGTGTGAAGGCAGCACCCTCCGTTAGACGGGGCTTACCTTCCCCTCGGGGCTCCGGGGCCGGGGTTGCACCGCGCTGCCTGCTCCCCCGGGGCCGGGCGCCGATGGCGAGGGGCTCTGAGCCCCTGAAGCCGAACGGGAGCGCCCCTGGGATTTCCCGCGTGCAGCGCGGACCCCGGGGAAAGGGTGCGTCGGCCAGAGCCGGGATGGATTACTTCCTTCCCCCTCCTCCCTTCGTCCCAGGAGAGCATGGCCTGTGCCTGGGTTCTGTTCCCTGGACCGTCCGCCCCTCAGCAAAGTCCCTTTCCTGCGAGCCCCCTCCCGTTACCTCAGTTTAAGTTTTCTTAGATTAAAAAGAAATATCCTCTTTCACCACCCTCTATAGGGCTGAGGAGCTGCTAGTGGGTTCGAATCACCGACCTTGTGGTGAACAACTCAATGCTTAGCCGACTGCACCGTCAAAACACACACACACACTGCCCTGAGTTGATGGTCACCCACAGCAACCCTCGAGGGCTGCGGAGAGCTGCTGGGGTTCCAAGACCACACCTGTATGCGGGTAGAGGGCCTGCTTCTGACAGTGCCACCACCGGGGGTCCTGAAGCATAGACTAGCCCACTCCCATCTAGCTCATAATTTTGACTTATAGTGACCCTGCATAGGGTTTCCCAGGCTACATATCTTTATTATTATTATGATTGCAATTATAACAACTTATTAGGGAAGTTAACAGAAAACATCCATACAGTCTTTGATCCCCAGCAGCCAAATGCTTCTCTCTGGTCCTCATAGCAATATTGTAGTCTGGCTTCTGCCTTTATCTGTGGGCTCAGAAACCTCCCCACTGCTCTGCCTCACAGTGTCAGTGTCTTTCTTTGCTCTCAGTACTGTAGCCCCTGATATTTCTGGTGCCGCCATCAGCACATACAGGACCTCACATGTGCTCTATTAATGGCTATTCTTTCTTGATGGTCCCGAAATTTTCTCCTTTCCTGCTTCTGACATGGCTCTCTTATAGCAAGGAGAATGGCAACACTGAGCAATACCCCAGTTGGAGTCCTCTAAACGTTATATGCACGGTCAAATAAAATGAGCTGCAGGCTATAAATCTTTAAGGGACCAGATAGCCTCATCTTACTCCAATGGAGCAATTGGTTGATTTGAACTTGTGAACAGTACTTTTCTGGCAGGGCCACCAGGGCTTAAAAGGATGAGTAAATGTGTGAAGCTCTGAACATCATTGCAGGGCAATAGTCTTGCAAAATCACTTGTAAAATATAATTGCTAGAAAAATGAAATGAAAATAATGTTGTATGACTTTAAAACTAGTAGATTCGACAACCGTGAACTTGTGAAATTGCTATGCTGTTGTTAGGTGCCATCCGGTTAGTTCTGACACATAAAGACCCCGCGTACAGTAGGGCAAGACACTGCCCGTTCTACACCATCGTCACAGTGTTGCTCTGAGTCCACTGCTGCAGCCACTGTGTCACTCCGTCTGTTGGAAGTCCTCTTCTTTTCTACTGACCTTCTACCAAGGTGCCCTTTTCCAGGGACTGATACTATATCCAAAGTATGTAGGGCCAAGTCTCACCATCCTTGCTTCTAAGGAACATTCTGGCTGCACTTCTTCAAGACAGAGTTACTGGGGCAAGCAGTGGGACTTTCAGTATTCTTCACCAACACAGTGATTCAGATGCATCAGTTCTTCCGTACTCTTCACTATTCATTGTTCAACCGTCACGTGCGTATGAGGTGATTGAAAAGTCCTGGGCTTTGGGCTGGCACACCTTCACCCTAAAATGACATTCTTGCTCTTCAACACTTTCGCGAGATCTTGTGCATCAGCAGTTTTGCATCATGCGACATGTCTGATTTCTCGACTTGCTTCTATGGCGTTGACTGTGGAATCTCGTCAAATGAAAAAAACTTTTGTTTTGAAATTCTTGATAAGGTCCATCTTTGCTCTTTTTGTCATGCTGTTGTCTGTTGGTCCACTCGTGAAGATTTTTGTTTTCTTTGTATTGAGTTGTCATTCGTCCTCACGGCTGTAGTCTTTGTCTTCCTCAATGTTTCCAGCCCTCTTACCTTTCAGCAAGCAAAATTGTGCCATCTGCCTATCACAAGTTATTAATGAGCCATTCTCCAACAGTGACACCTCATTCTCCGTGTCGTTGCATTGTGAGGCCAGGTTGTCCAGAGAAACAAATCAGTGACATTCATCTATGTACAAGAAAGAACTTTAAGTCAAAAAGCCACTTTCAGTGAAGAAGGCAATCCAGCCCTGCCCAACTCAAGTCCGCAGATCCATTGCTAGCTGGACCCTCTTCAGACTCTGGAGCTGCAGGCCAACAGCAGGGAGATCACACGCCTGTTGGTGCAGTCTCGTAGATCCAAGGTTAGTGGAAGCGTGGCAGTGCGCCCATGGCTCTCACGTGTGATGGGCCCATGTGGGACCGCCTCTGAAGGTAGACACAGAGCCCTAGTGAGGAGGAAGGCGAAGTGGCAAAGAGATCATCTCTGTTCCTCTTGCTCTTATATAAAAGACGTGATATCAAGGAGATGCCATCAGGCTGCAGGTTTTGACTCCACCCCAGCGAAGAATATCTAGTTGACATACTCCCTAACCATCACATTCTTCCCAGATTACACGCTTAGGATGCAGATGGAATAAGTTTGATGAAAGGATACAACATTTCCTGACTTTAAACCATGCCATATCCCTTTGTTCTGTTCAAACAACTACCTCTTGGTCTACGTACAGGTTCTGCATGGGATTCAGTGAAATGTTCTGAAGTTCCTCTTCTTCATATTATCCATAGTTCGTTATGATCCACACAGTGGAATACCTTTGCATAGTCAATAAAACACAAGTAAACATCTTTCTGGTATTCCCATCTTTCACATCAGCAATGATTTGTTTCCTATCCTTTTCTGAATCCTGCCTGCTTGATTTTCTGGCCTCTCCCTGTTGAAGTACTGCTGCAGCTGGTTTTGAATTATCTTCAGCAAAATTTTCCTTGTGTATAAAATTAATGATACTGTTTGATCATCTCCGCATTCATTTGGATCACCCTTTTGAGTGGCACAAATAGGGACCTCTTCTCGGCTGGCCAGGTGTCGTCCAAATGACTAGCCTTGACGGCTAGTGGGCACCGCCAGTGCGGCCTCCGTTTGTTGAAGCCTTTCCATGGTCATTTCATCAATTCCCGGAGCCTTGTTTTTCACCAGTGGACCTCTTCGGCATAGGCATAGGGGGCTACTCATTGAGGTCTGTGGTTCGAACCAGCTGGCCGCTTCTGGAGAGAAAGGCGAGGCTATCTGCAGTGGTCCACTGCTGTTCATTAGGGTTTCGTGAGGCGGTGTTGTTTTTTTTTGTTGTTTTTTTTTTTCAGAATTAGACTTCCACCTCTTTCGTCCTAGCCTTCTGCTAAAACCTACCCACTACAGGTGTCCCTACTGATATTTGAGGTGTCTGTGGCTTAGCTCCCACACCACAGCAGCATGCAAGTAACATGTGAAGCAAACTGGGGCCTTCAAGGAACAGTTAGATGAAAATACCACTTCCAGAATTATCTGGACCTAGATGGAGGATATGTCCATACACAGTAGCTTCTCCCCCTCTTATTTAGTAGCTTCACATTTTGGTATTGTTTAATAAAGGTTTCTACGATGCTGCGGCAATACTTCCCGTATATCTGTTCTTTCCCAATGTGTGGAAATAGGGTGTGTGGTTTCTCCTTTCACTTGTCTTTGTGGGAGAGGGAAGGATTTGGTGGAGGTAGCTATAGTGAGACCACATTCTCTCGTGCATGGGCATCAGGGTTAAGCTTTGATGTTTAAGCAAGAATTTGGACTGTTTGAAAACTCATTTGCTGTGGGAGATGAAAATGACCTTGGGGTGAAGGGTCTGGGGAAAGAGACCAAAGTTCGTACTCCGGGCTTTAGAGAAGAAAAGAGACTTCTGCATTTTAATAGAGCTAGAGCAATGAGAAGCATTAACGTTGCCAGCCCATCTATTTCAGAGAAGACAGTAACTAGGAAAGGAGACCTTTGGGCTAGAGAAGGGGAGTGGGAGGGAAAATCCAGGAATATAGCAAGAACTGTCTTTTAAAAATGTTTGGACTGAATAGTACCATTTTAAAAATGAGTATTTAAAAAATTTTTTAAATACAGCAGCAGCTTTTTTTTAACTGTATCTACTGTGAGATTGAAGACAAATCTCAGCAGTGAGACCAGAGAATGTTGCTATTTACCAAAAGGGGAACACGGTTCTTGTGAAAGACC